CAGGTTGATCGCAGTCCTCGGGGGAGGACTTGTCCTGGAGGAGGTGGGAATGGGGGGTGGGCTGGGGATAAGGGGAGGGGGTGGGAGGGGGGAGAATAGGGGAACCCGTGGTTGATATGTAGAACTGAATGGTATTGTAAAATAAAATAAAATAAAATAAAAAGTTTAATTCCAGCACTTGGGGAGATGAGACAGGAAAGGAGGAAGGATTGATTGCTGGAGTTCCGGGCCCCATCTAGGGAGTGAGACTTCGTTCCAAACAAACCAGAAGCGGCTGTCTAGGGTGTCCTGCGGAAACCCACTTGACCCCTTGCCAAGTCTCCACGTGGCACCGTGTGTGGGAGGTGGCACACTCACGGACGTCCTGGCTGTCTGGTCCCTCCAGGAGCAGCCAGTGGGGCCGTCCCCCCCTCCCCCACCGATGGGTGTTTATTGGTCTAACGATTTCCACACGCTATGGCAGTATTTTAGCCCCACGACTGCACCCCGTGTCTTGCTCATCTAGGTCAGAACACCATCTGGTGGGGCTGTCTCTGTATAGCACCTCCTCTCTGCCACAGTACGTTGTCGCTCGCTGTGGCTTTGGGCTTCCCCAGGGTGCCAAGCCCCACGTCACCCCACCTGCCGCCAGCCATGTTTACCATTACTGGGCTGGGCGGTCAGTGTCCCGTTTTTCTCAGAACTTCAGCCCTGGTCCTTACCCTACCACTCTTATCTGCCCAGAAGACCAGTAGACCAGTAGTGAGCCAGCTGCCCCGGCCAGGAAAGGGCAAGGCTGGGGTCAGGGCAAGCTTGGTGGTGGTGGTGGTGGTGGCATCTATTGTAGTCAGTAGAAGGTGCTATCGGGGGTGATCTCTGCCCTTAGCCTTTTCTTCCTCTCCATCCTGGTGTCGCAGAGCTGCAAGCGGACAGCTCAGGTCACAGATGCATACCTGCAAGCCACAGCTGGAGGTCTCAGCATTTACCTTAGATGTTTATGTGTGCCATGTACATGCCCGGTGCCCACAGAGACCAGGAGGCAGTGATCCCCTGGAACTTGAGTTAGGTGTTTGTCAGTCACCATGGGGATGCTGGGAACCGAACCTGGGTCCTCTCCAAAAGCAGTAAGTGCCTTTAACCACTGAGCCATCCTACGGCGCCTTGGAGATTCTCTTTAGAAGAGTCTCCCGATCCCTGGATGGCCACCTTTCTGGGAGTTTCTGTGCTCCAGGGGGCCCAGCAAGGCAAATACTGTGGGGTGTGAAGGCCCCAGTGCATACAGCACCTGGGGCTATGTGTGCCCTCCCCCCGCCCCCCGCATGCCCCAAGGGTGCTAGAGCCCCACCCCCCACAGTCACTATGGGGCTGTAATCCAGCTTCTGGTGGTGGTGGGGGGCATTGTCTTCCACCCCGTACAATTGGACTTTCCCTGCGGGCTCTGCAGGCCAGCTGGGTCCATGGGTTGTAAGGCAAGACATTCTCCTAACAACCCTTGGCCAGGGTCTTGCATGCAGAAGCCTTCAATAGAGTGGCTAGTGGCTGCCACCCCCTTCCCTGGGGGTCTAGCCCTGGAACCCTTGGGTATGATGTGCCCAGCCGCTCTGCCCCCAGTGGACAATCTGAGCTCTATTCTCTCAGTGCCGGCAGTGGGTACTCCCTGTGGGCCGCTGAACTGTTTTTCCAGGGGGGCCCCTTTGGAGAGCTGTACCACTCGGCCTCCGTCCATTTGAATTGGGCTCTCTGTTTGACTGGCAGAGCCCTGTGGGACGGCTGGCTGATCTGGGGCTGCTGCAGGTCGGCCAAGGCCCAGGCAGTGGGGTTGGGTTCCCTCTCCGTCTGTCTCCAGGTTCTTTTGTAGCCCAGCGTGGCCTCAAACTTTGCACACCCGAGGTTGGCCTTGAACTCTGATCTTCCTGACACCACCTTCTGAGTGCTGGGGTTACGGGCGAGCACCCATTTATGGAGTTCTGGAGGTGAAATACAAGGAAGGTCTCGTGCATGCTAATGCCTGAGCTAGGTGCCCCAGGCCAGCGGGAGCAGGCTTACTCAGGGTGTATTAGGCTCTGTAATGCTCTGTTCTGAGGAGAATGCATCCGCCTCTGAACCGAATGCTTGCTTCTGAAGTCTTAGCCTGTGTTCATGTCCTCCCTCTGCGGCCACATGGGACCTAGTGCTGTGCCCAGGGCACAGCAGCTACTCAGCAAACTTACCTTGTGCATCTGGGGGAAAGGTAAGCTGCCAACAGCCACTCTGGTATTCTTTCCATAAACACCTCACCCGGGAGCTTTGTGACGGGGTCAATGCCAATGTCACTCGATCCTGAGGCTGCCTGGGTCCCAGGGGAGCCAGATGCTTCCATCTGACCCAGGCACTATTCCACCTGGGTGCTGGTGTGTGGAGACCATCATCATCACGCCCCACCCTCATGGGGTCGTGCAGGCAGGCATGTGGGCATGTCTGTCTGACACCCCCGTTCTCAGTCCTGGGGGTAGTGTACAAATCCTGATTCCCCTTCCCTATCTCCACCCAGGCCACTCCCCTCTTCCAAAGTCCCCCGGCCCTGGAGATGAGGCCCCGTCTGCTGCCTGTGTTCTTTGGGGAGAGCATCAAGGTGGACCCAGAACCTCCACATGAAATCCGGTAAGTGGGCCAAGAGTAAGGTGGGTGGACCCTACCTAAGGGAGGATCTTGCTCAACTGTGTGAAGGGTTTCTGCCTGTGAGAGCCAGGGTCTGCCAGGCTCTGGGGGCAGAGCAGCCAGCTTGGGTCTCAGCAATTCTTACCCTCTGGTGCGGCCTGCTCTGGAGGGCACCCCCCCCACACACACACTCCCTGCTTCTGGGTGTCAAACCAGAAACTCGGCGTGGCACCGAGGTCACTGACCGGTCCCTCTGAATGGGGGGAGTCACCCCACCCCCAGCCTGGCCCAGGAGGGGCTGTGGGAACTTTCATAGGCTTTCTAACACGGCCAAGTTGGGAACAGACCACGGGAAGCACTTGCTCTGTTCTCTCACGTGACCTTTGTCGTAGTTAGCCCCTGAATACTGCGGCGTGACCCAACAACACAGTCCTCCATGGTGACAACCCAGTGCCACCGCCTGAAACAGCATCCACCATCCCAACTGTGTCCTTCTTTTTGGTCTCCCCCTCCCCCCAATTGAGGGTCCAGCTGTCTGTGCCGTTTGTCACTCTTTAGTCTCCCAGCTGAGACTTTGACCCTTCAGAGTCAAGGTCAAGAAGGGGGTTCTGGCCGGGTGGTGGTGGCGGCGCACGCCTTTAGTCCCAGCACTCGGGAGGCAGAGGCAGGCGGATCTCTGTGAGTTCGAGGCCAGCCTGGTCTACAGAGCGAGATCCAAGAAAGGCGCAAAGCTACACAGAGAAACCCTGTCTCGAAAAACCAAAAAAACAAAAAAAAAAGAAGGGGGTTCTGTGTAAGGCTGGCCACCGAGGGTGTGGCATGCAACTCACCCCCTTCGTTCCTTACTGTCCTCCCCAGCTGCAACTCGGAGGTCACCTACGCCTCGGAGAGGTACTTCCGCGACAAGATCTTCTACGTCCCGGTGCCCACGGTCACAGCCTACAGTGAGACCATCGTGGCGGCACCCAACTGCACATGGCGCAGCTACCGCAGCCAGCTGACCCTGCAGCCTCGGCCGCGCGCCCTGCGCTTCGGGAGCACCGCCATCATCTTCCCCAAGCTGGCCCGCAGCTCCTTCCGCACCACGCTGCACTGTAGCCTGGGCCAGCCCCGCCACTGGTTCTCCTCCAGCCTGCAGCTGCAATGGAGTGGAGGCCCCGCGCCCAGTCCCCACAGCTCCGATGTACTCTGAGGAGCCCAGGCTTGGTGGCAGAGGGTGCAGGTCCTTCTGGGAGAGGTCCCCGGAAGACGGACGAGGGGCTCGGCCTAGACCCTGGGCCCCAGGAGGAGACACGGAGCCCCGTGGCCTGCACAAATGAGCGTGTGGCTGCTCCTGGCAGCCTGTCCCCACCACAGGCTGGGCCTGAGCTCCAGCCTAGAGGATTCCGTGAATGCATCTTTCATTACCTTTTATAGCTGCCAGGCTGGATGGGCAGGGCCAGTACAAGAGCAGGGCCAAGCATGTCCTGGTGTGCCCTTGAGGCAGAGACAGCCCTGTGTACCACAGGGCACAGAGGACCCAGCCTCAGTAGTGGCCTGGTTCCTAACCTTGTTCTCAGAGAGGGTCGTTTCCAAAACAGGCCCTTCAAATATGCTGGTCCCAGCTGAGAACCCCAAGTGCGGAGGGCTGAACTAGCTTCCCTTGGGCTGAGCTGGCAAAGACTGTGGCCTCAGACTGTCCTTCAGGGCAGTCCCAAGGGTCCCCACAAGACGCATTCCCGACTAGCTTAGAACTTTTGAGCCTCCACGCTTTCTGGCAGGTGGCCAGGGAGGCTTCAAAGCTAATGATAGGACACTGCCAGCCCCTGCCTAAGGCCGACTCTGGACTCGAGGTTTTGATCCCGGCTACAGACTCGAGAGAAACCGTGGCAGCTTCTCTTGGCCTCTCACTCTTACCCGGGATGGATCCTACTGATACCACAGTTTCTGAGCACCCAGGCTCACACCCTTGCATCTGGGGTGCAGTGAAGGAGAGCCATGGTTTTGGCTCTTGCCCACAACCTGATGCTGCCCCATGGTGCCCAGGCTAAAATGACTACCCCCACAAGTCCACTGAGAGATGTCCTTCCAGCCTCAAGTCTCCAGTAGCTGGAAACCTGCCTGCTGCCCCTGTGGTGGCCAGCGGAGGGAAGGGACACCCTTCGTGGGGCAAACAGAACCCAAATGACTGCTAGATTTCCCCTCTGTCTATACAGCTTATCAGAGGTGCCTCCTGGGTAAAGAACTTAAGAGATTGGTGACTTATCTTAATAAAACATACACAGCCAGGATGTCTTCCATTTCTGAGGTGCCCCTGGGACGGGGCAGGGGAACCCCACTTTTCCTCCCACTTAATATTACTCTCTGAGGGACCCTGGCTCCCCTGCTCCTGAGGGACTGAGAGGAACTAGAGTCACCATGGGTGCCAGGCTCTGCCTCTTGCCCCCAGAGCCTGTGATCCAGGCAAGGGCCCGACCACCAATCCACGGTCACAGGCACCAGTGGCTTTCCACACTAATGGCTCTTACCTGTTGGAGAATATAGGGTCCCCAGGCTGCTAGCTTACAATGTGGGGAGCTTGGGGAAGCCCCACATCCTAAGTATCCCCCCCTCAGCAGTTTACCTATCCCGGGGTCACCTAGGGGACCTGGAGAGAGGGAATATGGGGTGCCAGGTCTGGGTAGATCCTGCCCCAGCCCTTGGGGCTCTCCACCCAAAGGTCATGTTCCAAGTGGCTCCGCCCTAGGGTGCTTTGTTAAAGGGTCTTTCACTTGGCCTCCCAGCATCAGGGAGGGAGGACCCTATAATGGCCCGAGGGTGGCACCCGCCCCCAGGGTGCTAAGATTGACAATAATTGGAATCTGCCCCAGTGCCTGTAGGCACCTTTTTGTTTTGAGATGGGGTTTCACTCTGTAGCCCTGGCTGTCCTTGAGTTCACAGAGAGCCGCCTGCCTCTGTCTCCCAAGTGTGCCCACCACGCCCAGTTTGCAGGTCACTTCCTTACGCTGCAAAATGGGGGGGGGGGGCGCGCATCTGTAGCACCCACGCCTGGAGTCAACTTGATGAATCCCATTCTCACCAGCCAGACTCGTGCCCTGGCCTTGCGGGGGGTGGGGTGGGGGTGGGGTTGGGGGGGTGTGCCCACCCCCCTGCCCCCGCTTCCTCCCTAGGCAGGAATAGAGAGCCTTGGTCCCCTGTGGTCACAGTGCCCCGGGAAGGTAGAAGGTATGGGCTGGGGACTCTGGACGTTCTGATGGAGTTGACACCCGGGACCCCGCAGCTCCCTGGAGAATCAATACCTTTGTCAGCCATTTTAGCTTCATTTGGCATGGCCTCAGATCCTGGGACCCGCTGCCAAGGATGAGGGGCGTGTGTGGCCTTCTCCCCTCACCCTGGCACCCCAAACACCCCGTACCTTTGTCTTGTCCACAGCCGAGAAAGAGCATTGCCACTGGGTGGGGCAAGGCTTCCGTTCCCACCACACCCGTTCTGTAGATAGGCAGCCCGGTGGAGAGACGCCCCCAGGCGTCCAGTGGCTGCTGAGGAGCCTTTCACCACACCGCTTGCCCTCAAGTCTGGCTGACCTACCTTGGAAAGCGCTCCACCCCATGCTTGGTCCGGTCCTTTCTCGTCACCCTCCTCATCACGGTGACAAGCCCAAACCAATTTAGAAAACCAGCCATGGCCTTTCTCACAAACGCCTGGTCCACACTCTGGTTCCCAGTTGTCTCTGGCTAGGCCTTACCTCCTCACTTTGCTCACACAGGCTGTTTTCTTCCAAAGCCTTGCCTTTTTTCTTCAAGGCTGTCACTTCCGGGAAGTCCCCCTGACTGCCCTGGTCTGTGTGGTTCCTGAGTCACGACAAGGGAACCAGGGCATGTCCGCCTTGTGGACAGAGCTCTCCCTTGGGGAAGGGGGTCACATTACATCTGGCCTAATGCAGGAATAGCTCTCTCTGTGTTAAGAGACCCAGAGCAAAGAACATGGGGAGTCCCTAGAGAAGGGTGTGCCCCCAGTTGGGACTTCTGTTTGTCTAAAGCATCTTCCTGGGAGTCAAGGATGAGAGAAGTCACGTGAGCCTCCATTTTAAAGATGGAGCAAGGACAGGCTGCTCACAGATAGACAGAGAGAGGACACACAGAATCCACAAGCTCTGCCTCCATGCCTCTGTCACGGTCTGGGCCTCGGAAACAGACAAAGGAGAGGCATGGCTTCGGGCCTGGGAGGCAGAGACGGAGCTGGGCTCAGACCAGCTCTGGTCTGGTAGCAGTCATGGGACACCACACCAGTGAGCTGGTGCGGTAGAGCAACCTGTCTGCCCAGGTAGAGCTGGCTAGGTCCAGGGTTAGGCCCCCTAGCGCCACCTGGCTGCTGGATTTCGTATTGCAGCCCGGACACGGCCCCTGTGCTCAGCTCAGACCTGCGTGGTGGCTCCCAGGCTTCTGCTCACATCTGCTCCTGGAGTTCACAGGAAGGACTTGGGAGCCCCTGGAGGATGCAAAGGCCTCTCCCCAGTCCAGCCCAGACACTCCAGGTGGCTGGCACTGGGGTCAGCAATACCCACCTCCCATGGCCCACATCCTCTCCCCTCCCTTGAGCTTTCCCAGCCAGACCCCTGCCCAGGGGAGGTGTGGCTGCTTAGGATCCCCCTGGCTGCTCTCTGCTATGGGATCTCTTTCCCTCAAGCAGGACCCACTCACCTGGCAGCAGAGTCAAGGCGGGTTCCATTCTTGGGACCATCTGTCACAGCATCCTTGGCTGCCCAGGTTCTGAGCGGAGGATCGGGGCGAGGCTGACTTCCTAGTCTCAGGCAGACACCTTGGCGGGAGTGTGGCAGGGCTGAGCTCGTGGCTCTCCCAGGTGTGAGAAACTCTGAGTGGGTGACCTCTCTGGCCACCATGCTCCACCAGTACCATCCCCAGGCTGCGGCACCCAAACCCGCCAGCTGCAGGGGGAGGCTGAGTGAGCTCAGCCCAAGTCAGTGTGGGAAGCTGAACGCAAAGGCAGCCTCCTCTCTCGAGTTAGGCAGTGGGCACCAGAGGCCTAACATGCCAACCAAGTACTCAGGAAGTCCCCCGTGCCTCCGGCACCCAGTGGCCAAAAGATGTCTCTCTCATGCCCTTGCCGACCGAACCCTCAAACCAGCTCTAGAGACAGGTGGTGCAGGACAGGCTAGGGGACAGCAGCCTGGGTGGCCCAGCAGGGCTCCTCTGTGCAGAGAGCATGTGCGGGTGGGTATGGAGGGGGCCAGGCCGCAGGTTCAAGGCTGAGGCAGAGCCCGTAAGCCGTCTTGGCTCTGCTGTGGGAGGGAACTCCTATGGTTGGTTTTAATGTCACGAATTGGATGAGTAGAGAAGCCTGGCGTGAAGACTCTGACGTGGGAAGGCCCACCCTGATGGTGGGCGGCACCTTCAGGCGGCAGCCAGAGACAAAGCATTCGTCAGGAGGAAGATCCTCTCGCCCTCTGCTTCCCAGGATGCTCTGCTCAGTGGCTCTGCCCTGCGGACTCCCAGGAAAACGACGGTTTTTAAGCCTTCATCACGCAATAGGGACGGCAGCACTCTAGCACTTCCGGGCTCCCAGACGCCAGACCGCAACTACAGATGCATGTGGCCTTGTGGACTCGGTAACTAAGGGTCAGCACCCCCTACCCCAAGTGAGAGGCAAGCTGTTCTGAGACAATTCCAAATGTTGAGGCTGAAAGACCAAAAGCTAAACTACTTAGTTCTTAGCATCGCAGGTGGGTTTGCCTGTTGTTACCTTTTTTTTTTTGGTTTTTCCGAGACAGGGTTTCTCTGTGTAGTTTTGGTGCCTGTCTTGGATCTCGCTCTGTAGCCCAGGCTGGCCTCGAACTCACAGAGATCTGCCTGGCTCTCCTCCCGAGAGTGCTGGGATTAAAGGCATGCACTACGGCTGCCCTGGCCTGTTGTTACTATTTTAATGCTAACTTAAGGGGCTGGAGAGATGGTTCAGTGGTGAAGAGCACTGGCTGCTTGCTCTTCCAGAGGACCCGGGTTCAATTCCCAGCACCCACATTGATAGCTCACAACCACCTGTAACACTAGTCTGATCTCCACAGGTACCAGGCATGCATGTGGCACACAGATGTATATACCGATCAAACATCAATGCATATAAAAAAATAATTAAAAATAAATATTCTTAATAAATCCTGATACCTATTCCTCTAGAGGTTCTCAACCTGTGGGTTGTGACCCCTTTGGGGTTGAACAATGCTCTCACAGGGGTCGCATATCAGATATTTGCATTATGATTCATAACAGTAGCAAAAAAAAACCAGTATCAACAAAAATCATTTTATGGTCGAGGTCACCACCACATGAGGAACTGTATTAAAGGGCCGCAGCAGCATTAGGAAGGTTGAGAACCACTGATCTAGAGGACCTTGACTGAAACAGACACCGAGGAGGAAGCATCATTTTATACCTTTGTATACCTGAGGTAGGTGGGTTTGGCCATTTTGGTCAAGCCCCAAAACACTATTGACATAAAGAGCAGGATCAGGTCAAATAGTCCACAGCAAGAAACAAGAGTCACCCACAGGTGTGACAGACACACACCCTCCCCACAATGTGACTGACACTCTCCCATGAGTGTGACAGACACACACCTGTGGTGGTATTGTGTTCCCCCAAATATTGTGCACCCTAATAAACTTATCTGGGGTCAGAGACAGAACAGCCACTAGATACAAAGGCTAGAAAATGGTGGCACTCACACCTTTAATCCTAGCATTCCAGAGGCAGAAATCCATCTGGTCAAGGATACAGACAAGCATGGTGACTCACGCCTTTAATCCCAGGGAGTGGTGGTAGAAAGCAGAAAGATATATAAGGTGTGGAGACCAGAAACTAGAAGCATGTGGCTGGTTAAGCTTTTAGGTTTTGAGCATCACAGTTCAGCTGAGAGCCATTCGGAGATGAGGACACAGAGGCTTCCAGTTGGAGGAAACAGGATCGGCTGAGAAGTTGGCCAGGTAAGGTTAGCTGTGGCTTGTTCTGTCTCTCTGATCTTCCAGTGTTCACCCCAATAACTGGCCTCAGGTTTGATTTTATTAATAAGACTCTCTAAGATTCATGCTACACACACCCTCCCATGGGTGGGACAGACACACGCTCCCCTGCTGGACATTTACACTCATAAGTAGGAACACCGGAGGCCTCGCCACAGGCAAGGACCCCGACGTCTACTACAACAGTAATCTTCACCATGCAGATGACGCACACTGTCGCGAGGAGTGAGCAACACCAGCATCCACATTACGCTC